CTAAACTTATCAAACAGCACGGAAACACCAACACGCGCTTTTTACTGAGGTTCTGATTCCAGACATATATTAAAATGAAACCTTTTGCTAAGTTAAGTCTCGAACTAATTCACACTGAATTATATAGTTACAAACTATATAACTTGTGTTAGAGAGTATATATGATGCATGAAAACCTCTTCTCTCGCATGTAGCGTCTAATCTGTGATTCGTCGAGCAAGCGGCACGTTGTTTACACTTATTTCTGCTTGTCTTACGACCGCGTCATTGTCTATTCATATATCCTTTTGCTCTGTCGATGAACGACACGCTAATGGATGCTTACAAATCCATACGCTTAAGATGATGTATGCTTGTGCGTACTTGTCTACTCAAACGTTGCCTTTTCAAGAATCTTTTCTATCTGTAGAATTTATAATTTTTTAAATGATGTTGGGATAACTAATGAATATCCCTTGTAGCCTATATATATATATATATATATATACTAGAAGAAATATTGAAATATTTTTACCTACTGATGTTCATCTATTCATTTGTTAATTTCTTTATTTATGACTGTATTTGTCTTTGCCATATTGAACAAAACTTACTTTTCTTTGAACAATTAAGTTTACACAATTTTCAAGTATCTTCAGTTATTTTAATAATTGTTCATCTTATTAGCTTTTAGCATGTCAACAAGTACACGATAAGCAAGCTATCAACTAGAAATCTTGATTTTTTGATTAGACCATCATATTTTAACCAATTCATGTAGCTTGTTCAGTTATCTTTGTGCTCCAGCGACAGTGAATACTTACAGTACCACTCATTATTGTTAAAATACTCTGTACATTGTAAGGATTTTTATTGCCTAGAGTATTAGTTACAAGATGGATCTGAGTGATCCTTGAAATCCTAGTTTTGCCTGAATATTTTAATACTTTTAGTTTTTAATATTGATAGAAAAAGCGTGAGAAAACATTTACATTTAATACAGAGTTTATTTTGACAGTTTTCTTATTGAATGTGACCAAAATCTCTTCATATTTGGACAAAATATCGATATACTTGAAAAGCATTCCAAACTAAAGTTAGATGCATTCATAATATTTGAGATCTCAAATATTAGAATGGTGTTAGAGAGATGTTGAAGACAAGGATGGGTTCTCTCACATTAATGATCAAAATTATCAGCGCACTTTCAAGCATCTTCTCCGAATGTTTGTCCAAACACAGAATCTGTTTTATACCTGCCAAAATTATTTTGGTAGACATATTTTCATTCAAATTTGTTACTGTTTTACTTGCATAAGGGTTGAATCTTCATCCTTGTTTCTACGGTACATTGATTATTCATTTCCGACAAAGTTCAAAAGTAAAGAAAATACTTTGTTCAGCACTTTTCCCTTTTTGCTTCCCAACCGCTTTCTGTAGTAATGATTGATGACTTTTTTTTGCAGCAGCAAGTTCAGACAGCGTTCAGTTATTTAATTAATAAATGTTCTGACGAAAATCACCCAATAAACCAAACCGTTGAAATTTCTGTTTTCCTTCCAGTTTCATCATGACCTTAATTGGACGAAAAGTTTTGGCAGTTATTACTGGTAAGTATTAAAACTCTATGTTTTTCAGCATTTAATGGTGCTAAAAACTTTTGTAATTATTTGATGTAAACTCCTTATTTTTGATGTTCTTATATAGGAGATAATGACTTTTGAAAAAGTTTTTCGTATTGAGGCGCAAGTCGTGGGATTGGTCGAGAAACGGTACTGCAATTGTCGAAAATTGTTTCTGAAGGGTCAGCATTTTTAATTACTGCTAAAACAGCTACAAAACTTGAAAGATTAAAAAATGAAGTGAAGTCCAGGTTTGAGTTAGTTTAAAAAATTAATGGTTTTATGACTATTTAAGTAGCTTTTAAGCTTTATTTTTGATTTCTATCATTGATGAATATCCACACATATTTCTGCAATCATATATAGCACGAAAGGAATCGATATTTATGTCCTGGTTTGCGATGCAGAAAAATTAAATTCTGGCATGATTTCGGAATTTCAAGAGGCTGTATCAACTCTGACAGGTTTTTCTTATTTTGTCTATTGCGGCTTCTTATCACGCATGACGATAGCTAGAAGGTTCCCTTTTCTTTATAGTCTTTGAGTTTGTTGTTCTTTTTAAATTTTTTCTTTCAGTTTGTGATTCTGGATACTGTTTTCGAATGTGAAATTTTCTAGAAATATTTTCTGATGCAGCACACTTCTTCAAATAATACACATCATAAAAAATTTACGGGAAAATTTTGTAATATTCAATAGGAAATTCAAGAACGTTTGATGCGTTACTACTAATGCACAATGCGGGAACAGTTGGTGATGTCACAAAACCAGGCTTAGAAATTTGCAGTTCAGATGACTGGCATAACTACTTACATATTAACTTTGTTTCAGCAGTACTAATAAATAATTCAGTGCTGAGGGCTGTTCCGAAGCAGGTATCAGTTCTTTAAATTATTAATGGTGAATAGTTAAGAATTTAAATAAACTAGTTTTGTACTGTTAAAAGGATTGTGATCGAAGTACTAAATAACAAAGTTCTAGATTGCATGTAATTAAACCATAGCTCATATTAATTAAAATATTGAAATCTCGTTTACCTCTTTTTAAATTCTTTAAAAATTTTTAATGACCTTTTATATGTAGCTGTTTATATTAGTTTATAATGTTCACTTATTGCTTGGACTATTGAGTTATTAAAAAAACATTGTTATTTGAGTAAAAAATGCAAATAAATTAGAATTCGGAATTTAACAGGAATAACAAATTCAAATAATCGCAAATATAGAAACAATGAAACAAGTTTATTATGAAATATGTTGTAATTCAGGCAGTCTCAGTTCGCTACATTTTGAATGTAACGTCTTTGCTTGCTGTTAAAGCGTTTCCATCATTAGCTCAGGTTACTTTATCGGATTCACTGATTTATGTATATATTTCATGCAGTTTGTTACTGTTTCTAACCGAATTTTTTGCTAATTTTGTCATTCAGTACTCTCTAAAATGATTTTATTATCAAAGAGACATTAAGTACTCAGTCGGCAAAGCTGCTCGTGAAGCCTTTTTTCGAGCACTGGCAGTTGAAGAACCAAATTTGCGGATTTTGCAGTATTCACCTGGTCCAGTGCAAACTGATATGCATGATGAATTAGCGCAAAAGTTCGTAATTTTATTTCATTTGATACTTCACAGATGATTGAACTTTTCATAGACTTTTGTATTGTTACCGAAATTTAAAAGTGATATCTTCAACATCCTTTATTCTGTTAAACTAGTTTGCTAATAAATTCAGATTTTAGATCATATGATAAAGATATTCGTAAAACGCTTCAGACTCAATCTATGAGCTCAGAGGTATGATTTCATACACATTCTCGATTTCACGCTCACTAGATTTCTGTAGTTTGAGCAATTTGTAAAATCAACAAGAGAAGATAAGTCATCTCTTCGAAGTCAGTAAAAATTTCTTAGAAAAATGAGACGAGTTGGTCAATAAAATGAAAACAAAGTTCCAAATAAATTTACAGCAACGAATCAATATTTCTAGATTAAAATGCGAACACTTTCACCCAGTGAAACAGTTAAAAAAATGCTGGAAATTTTGGATAAAGATGAATTCGAAAATGGTTCACGATGCGATTTCTTTGATTCGTAATTTTTTGAATTTCGAACTTACTATCGATTAAAATTTTTTGAATAAAAGATTACTTTGATTTCCTTTTAAGATTTATTACAAATAAAATGTAAATAGAGTGTAAAACAATAATCTTTCTTCTTCAGTCATTATTCGTTGTTGTAAACAAATTAAAATCTGCATCGCTTACAGAGCGCGCCATGGATTTAATTTTGTCATTCCAGATGATGAGTTTGAGTGAGATATAATAAAATTAATTGGCTGAAACTTTGGTCGTGCGATGTTGTTACTCCAAAAAAATTTTGAGAGGTTTAGTCTATTAGCTCAGAGGTATGATGTCATACAAATTCTCTATGTCTTTGATTGTATGTTCCAACAAACTATTACCTCAGTCATTTTTTTCAAAAAACATCACTCTTAAGTTTTCAACCTTAAAGCATGAAAATAAGGCATATAACTAGAAATTCAGAAAAATATCATTACTACTCCGTCGGCTCTACTAAAAAACGATAAGCACCACTATAGGAATAGCGTTGAATATTCGAGATTATACAACGGAAAGTGATGGTAATTATGACGATGCCGTCTCCACGGAAAATCATTCTGATGATCACTTTGATTCCAGAAGAAATGCTTCTGATGATCTCAAAGGTCATCCCAATCTTTTTCCCACTCGCCTGACGCTGACAGTAGCATATATGTATACTGTTACTGTCATTTGTCAGCAGCAACAGCAACGCCACTGTTTTCCCTACTGGAAAGATTTTCCAAAAGTATTTCCGCGTGGTAACTGTCAAGTGAGTTTGGATTTGGGACAGAAATCTTGCTCGAATACTAACATATGTTAGCCGGCTTGACAAGGGAGAAACAGCAAAAATAAAGAAAAATGAAATATTTGTAATTGCATGGAGATAAGTAATAAGAGCTCATTGATGAAATAGAAAACAGGCCGACAAATTATGCATTAAAAACTACGGAAAACAAGAAAGACTCTTTTTTGAACGAAAAAACAACGAATTATGTCGGCAAGTAATTTCGTTAGCTGCTACTTTTTACTGGCCTATATTTCGAGCCAGTTCCCACTGCTTACTATTTAAACGATTCTGAGACCAAATTAAAACACACAGTTGGATCTACTCACGCAAGCGATCAGTAAGTTTATTTCCTTCACCACATGGATGTATTTCTTGACTACTAAGCTTACATCACAGCTCCAACTTATTTCATTTAGTAATGCTCATAAATCGATTACTGCTAATTTCGTTGGTAGTGATGATGGTGATCATCTCAGCGTCAGGATCAGCTTCTTGGTGGTATAATGACTGGAATGGCGCCTGGAATTCTAACCATCACCTCCATCACCATCACGGGTACTTCCCATGGTATCAATATGAACATTTTCCGTACTACCAACATCACTATAACCACTATTACTCGACAGATTTTTGGCCATGGAAATGAAATTGAAGTCGTAGAAGTGATCAACCATCACGCAGATGGTAACGAAAAAATCATTTTGCTCATTCATTCATTGACTTTTCTTGTACCCTGCATTTTTTGCTTCCTTTTAAAGTAGACTACTTATTCAAAAAATTTTCGTGTATGGAGTTCTGTTGCTAATTTTGTTTTTCTCTCGCCTTTTACATTAATGAAAAGTTCTTGTTTGCGTCTAGTTACATTTGAAAAGTACAGTACATCAATATTAAAACATACAAAGTTGACAAGGAGCAGTCTTTACTTATTTTTTACAAGTTTGTTAATATTTTGCAAGGCGTGCAGCAAATTGCGATCAAATGACTGATTCACCGAAAATACGAGGTAGCATTTTTTTATAAAATACAAAAATAATTTATTTTTTAATTAAAACTTTTTTATCTTTATCGTTCAAATCACTTAACTTTCACGTCAATCATGCATTAATTTAATTGTGGGAGAAAAAGTTGAAAATTTACGATAGATTGATGAGTGATGCAATAGATACGTTTTGTTAAGTTCGAGATGGGCGGGAATGAATGCAAAGAAAAACAAAAAAGTCTACTGCTCAGCGTACATTACAT